AAACATCATTTTGATGGCCTGGATTATTTAGCTCCTTTGATTAAGCGCAGATAACAAATCTGTCTCTTTGTTCTAATTCATTGCCAGTCCYCCTTAATCAGCCGAAGCTGGGAGCATCATCTGGCTCATTTTAGCTCTCTTTAGAGGCTGTGTCACATTGTGCCTTTCCTTCTTTGTGTTTGTTGGGCTTTGACTAGGCAGTGATAGTTGGGTCTGGTTGCTGCATGTTGGAATCTAACCCAAGCATCAAAATGTTTACAGACAAGAGCTGTGACAGAGGTCTGGGCTTATCATGTGAGGAAGCCTCTGGTTTGTGGTTATGATCACAATTTTGCTACTGCCTGTGCACACGCTGGTGCAGAGCACAGAGGAGATGCAGGTGCAGACGGTTCCTTTTGAAAACCCTCACACTGAATTGCCCTCAGCTTTCAGTCCTGTTCTGCTCCAGAAATCACAGCCAGTCTCTGGCTTAATGTGCTCTGGGCTTTTCCTCAGTTGGTGCTCTCCAAGCGTGACCGGTCTAGAGACGGCTCCACATTGATGTGTCAGCGAAGGGGGACACTTCCCTGCCTAATGGCTGCAGTTAGGGCGGTCGGCACCATGTGGGAGCTTAACTTAACATTTCTCTAGCCGCTTTACACTGCAAATCTCACCCCCAGTGCAAGATGAGCAGCTATTTAATGGCTGGGAGGAGGCTGGAGACCAACGTGCTGGGACGCAGGCAGTGTGTGCATTTTAACATCTATCCAGGCTGCCAGACATTTCTTTTCTGTTCTTTTGAGCTTAAAATGAGCCAGATGTGCTCCAGCTCATCAGGTACCTGGCTTTGAAAAAAATCACTGGTTTGCAGCAATAACTTAGCCCCACCAGGGCCACTTTATTCAGAGCTCTGCCTTCTGCTGCCGACTCTTCCAGGGAGCTGGTACCATTTGAGCCCTGGCAAAATAAAAATACCGCAGATATTTCTGAAGATAGTTGCTGTTGTTTCTTGTCAGACAGCTCTGGCTCGGCAGCTTTTCTCAGCCTGGGCTGTTTCAGCAGGAACGTGCCCACAGCAGAGCTCCCCCCAGAGCCGCAGTTCGGCCYGTTCTCCTGCTGCTCCCTCCTTCCCTCCTGCCATTCTCTTCTTAATAATTTACTTTCTTACACCTTACCATGATTAGCAAATTAAAAGCAGTGCAACAGGCATTGTTTCAGAGCTTAGCCATTACTCCAGTACTGCTTTAGCAACGCTGTGCAGATTTTCTCAGAAATAAATTAGTCCTTAAGCTGACTGCATGACTAGCATGTGTGATAGCTTAGAGAGCCAGGATGAGAATATTTGGGAATTGCTGCAATGTTGCAAATAAAGTAACCAGAATAATTTAGTATTAAAGAGGTTTATTAACTGCTTTAATGTTAAGTACTACATGGTCCAAGAGTTCTTTGTCYTGTTGCATGCATTTTACTACTGTTTATGTGGGAGCAGCATGAAATCTTTTCTCCTCTACTTCCTTTATGAATATATTCAAATGACTTGCGCTTGGATATGCTCGGATATATTTTTAAAACATGTCATGGCTGAACTTCAGTTGAACTTCTGGCAAGGCCTTGCCCACAGAGCTGAGCTTTACTGTTTGAACATCAGCTTACTTTTTTATTTTATTTTCCTAAGAATAACTTACTGTTCATAAAGATGAATGAATTATGAATTTATGAATTCATAAATGAATACCAGCGTGTAGGGCTCTGCCCTGTAGGTGTCTGCCGGGGCGGGCTGCGCTGGCCCCTGCTCCCTSGTGGGTGCTGGGGCAGCCCCGGCAGGCCCAGGGCACTTGCTGGAAGAAGTGCCCATCGGCCAACGCTGCCCTTTTCCCACCTCTGCCCTTCGGCAGCGGTTGCTCCAACTCTGCTTCCTTTATTCCTTCCAAAGGGAATGCGGCTGGGATTCAAAATCCGGTGACATCTGCATTCCAGGGAAAAACTGAGTAACGCTTTGAATTCCTTACCCCAAATGTTATATTTATACACAGAAGAACTGGATGTTAATGAGTGAAAGCAATGCAGAAATTGTCAGAGAAAACGATGAGGGTCTCTTTGTGACAGGGCTACAGTTTTGCCCCATCATTCTGGTGCTTTCTGGCCACTGAGGTGCTTTGAAGCTCTTTTAATATTTTCTTTTCTGTCGCTGGGGCAGGTTCTTCAATGCACATGGACCAGCCTTGCTGCCAAGCTCTGTATGACTTTGAGCCGGAAAACGAAGGCGAGCTTGGTTTTAAGGAAGGGGACATCATTACTTTGACCAATCAGATTGATGAGAATTGGTATGAAGGGATGTTACACGGAGAGTCTGGCTTCTTCCCCATTAATTATGTTGAAGTGATGGTACCCTTGCCTCAGTGATTGTGTCATTAAAGCTGTGAACATGATTTCATGATTGAAATGGATTCACAAATGTTCTATCAGTGTGGCATTCTGTGAAAGCCTTGCTCTTTGACTGACTTACTGACTTTTGTATGCGTCTTTTTAAAATGTATTTATTTTATATTCAAGAAACTTTTACCCTCCCTGTCTTCAGCAACCTGCAAAAAGACCCATGCCCAGTTTTTTTGCTTTGTGCCTTGAAGATCACTGTATGAAGTGTTTACTGGTAGCTCACTGTTGCTCCAAAAATGCATCTCTCTGCTATTATTGTATGTGAGGTTTTTTTTTTTTAAATCTTTGGCTGCAATGATTTTACTCTTGAAAACTATTTTAAAGAAATACTGTATATGAAGCTAACTGTAACCAGTTCCTAAGTTACTGATGTCCTTGAGCTTTTCTCACTTAYCACTCTGTAATTTATTGTGAACAAGTTAATCCATGTCTCAAATTGTATGTTGACAAAAGGCAAAGTGGTAGTTGTCAATATTATGATGTTGTTGTACTAAGTACAAGTTCTCAGMATTGAAAATTCCTATAATTTACTGACCAAACTTAATAAATATTTCTGTGGGAAAAGAACAGTGGTTGCTGCTTCTCTTCCTGTAGTTCTGGCAGTAGTTTTTGAGCTGAGAGTCACTTTTCCTGTGGAATAKATCAACTTTCAGCAAAGAAAACAATGCTGCATTAAACATGGAGGAATACAGCCAAACTCCTACTTTTATGACCCCTCAAGCCTGTAGAACTTTTAACAATCTTGCTTTCTCCCCCCAGATTGCATAGCGTTCATGATCTCTCCTAACGTTTTCTTATCCTTCGCTATAAGAGGGGGGGAAAAAAAGATCTGAACTAAGTGCAAACTGCTCCTAGCTCTGCAGTTCCACAGTTGCTATTGAAGGGGTATCACAAGTGGTTATTGTAAATAAATGAGTCAATACACTTCTTTCTTTTTTTTCCGAAAGGGATGCAGGAGAAGAAGAAAGAAGATAAGAGAACAGGTGGAAAGATGCAAGTACTGTAGCAGAAAGACTCAGCCTTCTTAAGTACTATTAAAATCAAGATATAAGGAATTTGGTTTTCTTTTAGCTTTCTCCTGCTTTGCTCAGTAGAAACAGACATAGTAACAACTGGAGCAGTCAGCAGCCACCTAGGAGCATATTCTCTTTTGCCTGTTATTTTCTGGATAAGACAGAAGAGAGGAATGAGGAAGGAGCTGATCAATTCATGGACAAACTGGCTTGAATCAAGTCTCAAGGGCTAAAGCTTTACTGGGTTCTGTAGCCCAACAGAAGCAGCATTCCCTAGGGAAAATGCAGTTACTTTTGCATGGAAGAAGCATAAAGCAGCTGCCTCCCTGGCTGACAAACTCAAGTTTCACAGGTTCTTTCAGCTCTGGGCTAGCACCTGAGGCTGCCTCATGCTTGCACTGTGGCCACAGAGAAGCAGGACCTTAATCTGTGCAGCTTTGCCTACAGAACAACTGGAGCTCTAAACTTGCACCTGCTCATGCAAGGAAAGACATTTCTAAGACCTTCTCCAGCTTTATAGGTGAGTGCTTAGTAATTATTTGAGCAGTAGTATAGAAGGTAACAGATCCTGACCCAGTTTTTGAATGAGACTGGCTCTGAGGGTCTGATCACAAGGCATAGCACCACTCAAAAAGCTTTAAGCAGTTTGAATTGATGGGCTGTTATGTAACTATGGAACTACTGAGCTTAGGGATTCTGAACATGGTAGCTTTTGGGAAGGGACAGCAGGAGGATATATCCTTAAGCATACTTATCTTCTAGGGTAGGGGAAAAAAAATGTTGTGAACCACAGCCAGGCACCTAACTGTTGGTTAAGTAAAGCAGCAGAACCAAGGGATGAAGAAAGAATATTCAATATCAGAACATTTATTAGTGTTTCCAAAGGGAGCAGCAAAATTGCCTATAGGATTGCCTTTGAACACCTACCTTTTTCAGTTAAAGGAGCAAGAAATCTAGATATATAAAAAGCCTAGCCACAGATGGAATCAACCTTAAATGTCTCAGTTTAGTGCAGTGCTGTGATATATTGAGGAATTAGTTCAGTTTGCCATATAGGCATAGTAGCCCATTGCCCCTCACCCCCTACTTGTCATTAACCCAGACTTGCCTCAGCTTTGGCCAGAGACACAGCAGAAGAGCCCAGTACTGTTTAAACAGCAGCAGCCTTTGAAACTGCCCTGCCCCTGGCCTGCTGGATGCTAAGATGTTTGATTTTTTTTTTTCTTTTGAACGTGGTTGCTAGTAGAGAGGTCTGACTTACATTTCATGGCATCTGTTTTCTCACCTGCTATCTGCTGGGCCAGAATGCCCTAGAGGAAATACACACACACACACACACACACACACACACACACAGTACAGTTTTCACTGGGCAGCTAGCCCTCCACTAAGGAGCTTCAAAGCAGCTGCAATACACATCTCATCTAACAAAAATAGCTATGGAAAAGTATTTTGAACACATTGCTAGTACTTAGTAATAGCCCCATTACACCTTGGTAATACTGTTTTTAACTTGCAAATAGTTAAGTCCAAGACTGCTTATTTAGAGAAAAAAATCTTTAATAGTAAAAAAAAAAAAGTTTAACAGGTCAAGATAAATATAGCAAGGTTATAGCAGCATCTATTTAAATTAGGCCATGAGGTACAACACAAATTCAGACCTACTACAGTTTAAGTATTTGGTTAGTGTGTGGTTGCCATATCTTAAAACTTCAAGCCAATCTAAGGCAAGCCTCACATTAAGAACTGCATCTTAACACAGAACAGATTCCAGATTTGCTTCTTCTATAAGACTGAAGATTCTGGCAAGGCAACAGCAAAGGTCAAACTATTCCAGTACTGGAGGAGATCTGCAGGAGAGCTGCCTCCCTCCCCTCGCACAGAGAAGGGACCAGTTCTTTACCCTGCAGCAGCCACGTTCACCTTTGCAGGGAGCAGCAACCCTGAAGGATAGTGCCAGTTTCCAAGGGCTCCCCGTGCCTCTGCGCAGACAGCAGAGCCAGGAAAGGTACATTAAATTACCTACTGGCCACAGACATTAGTCTCCATCTGTCTGGTTAGGTGGACAGAAAGCAAGACTGCAGACCGTGCTTTCCCCTTACTTACATCAGATTTAATGCACAGGAACTCCCAAAGCAGCTATTTTTCATGTATCTTAGTACAGTTGATGCTTTTGAGCTCTGCTCTTTAAGAGGTTGGCTTGTTGGCACCATTCAGACAAAGGGCTAATCTTGTTAGAGTACCTTATCTCTTGGAAAGAGATGTTTCTTCCTCAAACATTTCTAGGATACAGCTGTCAAAGTTCAGCTTCCAACAAACTGGAAGTTAAGCTGTGCTATACCTAGAAATATCCAATACTCACATCTCTGGGATTTCAAAGTACTATTACACAGAACCAATACACTTAAATAACAAGTAAAAAAAACCCACATTTTACACGTTGCTTTTAATTTTAAAATTTGATACACTAGAAAGTCCTAACAAGTAGTCTAGAACAGTTTCATATTCCAATATCAGGATCTTAGGATCTTAACAACAAGGTTTCCAGACACTGAGTACCCTTCAGAATAATTATTTTCCCCAACCAAGTTCAGACTTGCTCAAGGTACAAGCAAATTGTGATCTGGGCCATCTGGTTTCCTACTCAGGCACCAACCAGAAGTTGCCTTCAGAGAAACCCCATGTCAGAATATTCAGAAAGCTGGGCAGCCTTATGCTCAGTCTTAAGTATTTACCATCATTTTGGGACACATGTCTAACGTTAAGTATTGTAAACTCTATTCCCTCCCATGTGCCAGCAGGTCAAGAAAAGTAGATCCTTATGTTCCAGTTTAGAACAAAAATTAAAAAGGAGCTTGTATTTTGTTGCTCTTTAAATGGTTGAATCCAGGACAGGGTCCAGTATCAGATGGTAGGAAGTTTCACATTATGGACAGCACTTCTTACACACACATCAGAYGGGAGGTACAAAATTCCAAGTTTCAGATATTGCAGAAGGTATTAGAACACTTGTAGTCTAAAAACCTCACTTTGGTCTGAGAGGTGTTTAGACGATCCTCACTCTGTCTTCATTACATGATGGAACAGCTAGGGTCCTCATTCTGCTGCAGAAATAACAGCAAGGGATTAAGTAACAAACAGGCATACAAACCTAAGATGTTATTGCAGGGCAAGCTGCTTAAAGAGAAGATTGTTTACCTTCTCCCTCCTCTTATTWGCCTTACAGTATTTGGTAGATTTGGTTATTATTAAAAGAAAACAGGACTAAGAGGCAGGATATTGCCAACTATACTAATGGAAGTGGGAGAGATTGAAAGAAATAAATAAAAACCAGAATTTGAGTCTACTGAATACAYGGGCCATCTCTTCCCTAATTAAAGGCTACCAGGACCTCACTTCTGATGCTTCAAGTCTTCTGGCATGCAGCTTCATACCAGTCCTTGCAAATAAACTTTTTGACCAAGTTGCTATCATTTTTATATTGCTGATACGGCAGAAGCAGATAGGTTGTAATAACAAGAGGAATTTGACTGAAATTCAGCATAGGAAAGGACAGATGGTAACATTTGAGTGGGAGTATTAGGATGGATTCTTACCAGAAGTGGCTCACAACTGTGTGGTAAAGCTGCTGATAAAACAGACTAAAAATCTAACTTTTCCATCACACCAACTCTGTTATGACTGTTGGCTTCATATCTAGAAAGCCAGCTTATCCTGGATGTRTTTAGTTATGATTTAAAGTCTTCATAGTAGTTCTATTTTAGAGTACATAGTTAGATACCTGACTTAGTACATCAAAGCACTCGAGGAGCATTCAAAATAGAAGTTTAGAATTTTAATAATACATCAAAAGCTGTTTGGAAGGGCTGTTGAGTCTTTCAGAGACACTGAAATATGTAAGTTGTAGCCAAAGGGCTATAATTCAACCAAAATATGCCCATGCTATTTGTCAGTTCCATTAGTATGACCTACATCTGTTTTAGTTTCACTTGAAAGGTATTGAAGGGATATCTTCTAAGGCTGAGATGCTTATTTTGCTGTGCAAATTGAGAAGAGTTCTAGAAGAGAGCCAGCACTGAAGTACCTCAAACTCATGTTTGAGTTTCAGAAGTACTTAGGTAAATCAATACACCCCAAACTGATTCTAGTCTTTTTATATTTTTGAATCAAAATACTAGCCTTCTTCAGTATGAATTTATTTCAAGACTCCATCTGGGGACTGTTTAAAGGATCAGATAAGTAACCCCACAGAAACATTTTATTTTCTGTTAGTACTTATTATTCATAGAAGCAAACACAAACATTAAACTTACTTAAGCTCAGACACAGGTTTAGATGGAGCAGACATTAAAGCTAGTGCTCTGCAGTGGTTGTTTTAGTAATGAGAGACCCGACAGTTAATGCTATTTAATCACATTCAACCACCAGAAAAAGAAACAAGACATCAATTGCAGTTCTGATGSAAAGCCATGCAAACTACATCCTACATGAGACGAGACCGCAGCACTGCTCATGGCACAGCTTTCCTACAAGACTACAAGCATGATTCTCTCACTGATCTCACCTGCTTTAGGAGGCTCACAGGAACCACTATCATGAAACCAAACAACATTTCTTTTTTCTTCTTCTTTTGGTCTGACATCAAGAAAAATGGTAAGAATTGTAGGATATGGATAGCACTTAGGGAATGCTTCATGTGGTAATGTAATGATATAGTAATGACATGAAATAATTCTTTTGATAGCATATATTTGAACTTCAAACTGCTTACCTGAGATAGAAGCTCCATTTCACTTCCAGTGATTTCTTCCTCACACTCATCTTGATCACTACTCTCCTCTCCTCTGGGTACGTGCATTATCTTCCTTTCTGCCAGTTCCTAGATGAAAGCTGTGTCACCACCAAAGACCCCTTCATCCCCTCAAGATTTGATCGCATCAGGGAAATGTAGTATCAGGAAGTTATAACTAGTTGCTATTTCTCTTACCTCACCATCCTCTGTGATGAGTGTAACACCCACAGTGTCCCCTTTCCCCCAAGACTGAGACTTCCAGATCAGATCACTAGGACCTGGGCTTACACCAGCATCTGCACCCCAGATCTGCAGACAGATAAGTGAGCTCAGGACTCTTATTCACAGCTAGATTAGGATTCATTATTCTGATTCCCAAACACTCCCAAAGATATCCAGTAATAAATTGAGCCACTTTGCTCCATGGCACAATTTGTGCTTCTTTTAGTACAGAAAAGCTGTTAACAGCTTCTACCTGATTAAGAGGTCGCCTTGCTTGCACATACATTCCATTTGGGTCACAGAGCAAAAAAAAAATCAGTCAGATTTCCTCATGGCTGCAAGTTTTGTGCACAAGATGGCATTTGCTAACCTGGAGTTACTACCAAAACTCTTGTGTAAACTTGATAAACTTGTGGTAATTTGGAGTACAGAATTTAGAGCTACACATTTTGAATACTCCTAGCCTTACTTAGACTAAGTTTCTAAAGCTAAACTTTAGCTTAACAATACTGAGTCCAGTATTGCTGAGCTGTAGTAGACTAGAGATGATAGCAGCAGGAAAAGGCTTTGCAAAGCCTCTAACAAAGCATGGGGAGCTGTAACAGCAAATAGAGTTTGATTTCATGCACAATAACACAACCTCATCTTGGGAAACCACATTCTCCAAGACTTACTCTTACAAAGAATATTTAATTGGTATTTCAGATCAAGGCATTCCAAGAATTTTCCCATCTCCCTCTCTACATAATTTCTTTTGGTTCTCTGAGCACCAAATACAAAAATACTTGGACATTAACATAGCTTTTCTTGTTACACACACTGTTCCATCTCAGATAACAAAAATAGATCTCTGAATAAACTGTACAAAGCTGCTACCTACTGTAACTATTTGGCCTGCCTGAAGGGTGAACTGTGAAGGGAATATATAYGTTGCATCAGAAAAACTTCCAAGCCGTCGTCTCAACACCCATCCATGCAGCGGCTGATCCTACGGGATAAGAAGTTTCTCRGCATTACAAATCAAGACCACATTATAGAAGAGCTAATTGCAAGCTTCTAGAATTTTGAAAAATTCTAACTCAAGATTTGTAGATTAGGTAACTTTTCCAACAGTTTAATCAGAGAAACTTTCTTTGTGCTGGTTATAGGACTGGCAGTCCTGTTGAACCTTTTTTGCTGCTCTAAAGAGCTTCTCTAAGTAATTATCCAATTTACTAAGTACATTATAGAATTCTTACAGGAAGAAGTACTTCTGATAGTGCTAGACTGAATCTGGTGAGAAATAACTAAGACTTCTGCATCATAGAAGCCAATGCAACTCCCCCAAAAGGCATTTCAACAGCCTTGCTAGTAAAATCCCTGCAGGATTCAAGTCGCTCTACATACTCTGCCCTTGACAGGAGCCAGGTTAGCTGGAGAGTCATTCAGTATTGAGTTTGGCAGTTCTCATCTTTTTATTCTTCCCACYCTCCACTTCACTAAGCTACAAGTCCATTCACAAGGAGCCCTACTTAGTGAAGGGAATGCAGACTTGAATGAGTAGCAATACCTCATTAGAGTTGTTTTTAAGCCTGACAAATTTTCCCTCTGTATCAATTTCTTCTATAGATACATTTCCAGATGAAGAAGCATGCTGAACAGTCTTAAATCCAGTACTGTGTCCTCTCATTTTGGTTTTCATTTTCCTTTTTCTCCCATGCAGAAGTCGACGCCCTTGACTTGCTGCTGCTTGAGTTGCGGTACCAGGTGAAGACAGACGAGGGGAGAGCTTTAGCCTGGAAGGGAGTCAGATAAGCAGATACTCAAGTGAATGTTATTTCTTCTTGCTCCTCTCCTCCCAGGAGAGCCAAGCCTAACAGCTTCTTATATCCCAGCTTTCTCTCAAGTCTTGAGCATAAGATGTTATTTTTACTGGCAAGAGCTTAGTAAGTAGCTTGTTAAGTTTGGAATACAGCCTTGAATCTAGAGTTCAGAGCAAACTTATGTCCATTAGAAATAATTCCCATCTACAAGAAGTATTCATTAAAAATCTCTATGGACAAACTCTTTAGTGAAATTAGTTTAAGTTCTTGACCTTTCCTAGCATGTAGTGAGAGTTCATGTTGTTCTCACCAAGTAGTGTATGGATAGCTGGAGTGGATACAACTTTTTCATTTCATTTATATACATAGCCTTTACTGCTGAAATCCCTCAATTTTAATTCCACAGATTAAATCCTGTGGAGAATGACTATCTCTATAAACAATTCTATTTTCTCCCCCCCATCAATTACCACCCCAGATATGTGGCTTCATCCTTTAAATCTGAGGAATGAGAGAAAAAGGGCCATTTTCTAGGATGCTGAGAAATTTTCAGTATGATTCCAAGGAAGGTCTAATGGAGCTTTGAGAGCCTTTTTGCTTATGTTTGAGTTGTGTGACCACCTTACTACATTAAGGGGGTGTGGAATATAAAGCATAGCCTACTGTAGATGGTTTTTAAGAAATAAACTGTGGTACTATTAAACAGTCACATTTTACTTCTTGCTTTTATTTTCCTATTCTGAAGCATACATAGTAAAGTAGCATAGAGGTCTGAGATGAAGCAAGTCTTGATATAAGAATCTTTTCACATCCTACCTCTGCTCCTCTCCTTCCAGCATCTTTCGGTAGGCATTTATTTCCAGATCTAGAGCCAGTTTGACATCTAAGAGATGCTCATATTCTTCCAACTGTGCTTGTACCTGCTGCTGGACTTGTGCCATTTCTTTCTCTTTTTCTGCCATACGTCTTCGATGGAGATCACGATCATAATCCAGCGTCTCCTGTAGCTCCCTTATCCTGTTCTCCAAAGCAGCATTCTAAAATTAAAGGAGAAAAAGATCAATTAAAACATTACTGAAGATTAGAGAGGAGAGCTTAAAATAATGATATCAAGTATGTATAAATATACATAGTACCTGGCTTTGATACTGATTAACTTGGGATGTCAGAGTATCCACTCTCAGCTTGGTTTCCATCAGCTCCTCCCGAGCAGCATTGGCAAAGTCACTATTTCTTGCTGCAGACAGCTGGGCATTYTCCATCTGTGGATAAGTCACCATTTGTAACAGGTTACTTATGACCCCTTCCATTTTAAATAGGAAGGGAAAACCAAGTGATTTCCAGCTGTGTTACATCTGGAAATAGTTATGCTTTCCTTAACTGTGCAGATACCAATAAACTCCAGGTCAAAAGATTTTTCATTGTTTTTCAGGGGGGTTTACATGATTTTGATATCATGTCAGCAATAATCAGCTAATTAAGGGTGCTGGCTTAGGAGTGCATAAAGACTTTCTACAGATGTGAAGTAAAATGATTCTCCAGAAGTGCAAACGGGAATAAGGTAGGAAGCTGCTTGTCAAAGCATGAGACTACATGACATCAGGTGTCCTTATCCAAGTGTTATTCTTACTCAATAGTTCTACACAGTTTCCACAACACTAAGTTATTTCAAAATCAGAACAACTTTTATTCAGTAATATTGTGGTTGCTTAATACTAACAGAACACCTCACTTGGCTTGTATKCAGATTTATCCATAGTTTGATTTACAATCAATTACAATCGATTACAATCAATTTTGTTACATTTGTCATCCCTAACCATGCCCCTTAAAGGGATCATTTATGCTTAAATCAGTTTCATTTTAGAAAATACATGTCTGTGGACAGAAAGTTTGTCAAATATTTGACACCATTCAGAGATCCCACCATAGCTGCTGAATTGATTACCCTTCACATTTATGCGAGGAAGTTTTGTACTCAGCTATTTATTCTGTGAATCACATCAAAGTGCAGAGCTTAGGTTTTGTTTTATTGCCACCTTCTGCAGACTCACTTTTGCACTGAATGTTCGTTCCAGGTCCTCTTTGTATCCTTGAATCTGTTCTTCATGCTGTTTTCGGAGCCCTTGCAGAGCATCCGAGAGCTTACTCTCAAATTCTCTCTGACGACCGGATTCTATTTCTGCTATCCTGCTCTCATGGACTCTTTTTGTCTCTTTGAGCTCCTACGAGGAAAACAAAGTTTCTCAGAAAATAAGCAAGCCACCACAGCTCAGTCTGAGACTGGGGGCTTACTGTAACAGCTCAGMAAGTCATTCCACACTGAAGCAGATTTATCAAGTATATGGTAATTCATCTTTATTTACAGAACTTAAACATTAGTCCATTACATCACCTACTTCCATCTAGGTATGCTGGGCTGTTTGGCTTCCTTGCTGCCTACATTGCTCTGATACAGTAGTTTGCAACTAATTGGAAGACTAATCCTTTCAAGTAGATTAACTTCTCTTCTAGTTAGAAGACATGCATGTAGACTTCAGTTTAAGAACTGTTGTTTGACCTRTTCTTATTGTATTCAAGAATTAGAGAAAGCTGGGTTAAAAACTCAGATCCCCTACACTTAACCACACATACTTTGGGATTCATTCAGTCAGAAGGAAATTGATTTACATATTATTTAGTTCTATGCTACATATTGACTTTTCACCAAGTTGACTAGGCAACCATGATAAGTGTTAAGGAAGTAGGGAACATGAATTCTTRTTAGAAGAGATTCAACTTTTTGGTTTTTTAAAATTATTTTAGTCTTCTAGCAAACACCTGGAACCATTTCAACCGTAATATTTGCACTTTTAGTTACACAAAGTAGTATATTGGGATTGTAGTTACCTTCAGAAGTGCAGCCTGAGAAAATTATCTCATACTCCAGATACCTATTGGTACTATGCCAGTTAACATGAAGTTGTGCACTTTCTTGAAGTCTTCCTAGTTAGGTGGTTTTTATTGGTTGGTGAACTGTCATAGGTTGACTCAGCTAGTTACCTTTTTAAGGATAAAGCACATGTAACATTGCTTTTAAGGGCATCCAGGGGTCATTGACACCTACAAGAATCCTGGTTAATAAGCTAAAACATACATCTTCATGAAGGCACTTCTCGAATGTCATTTGCTCTTGCAAAGTTTTCATTTGATTTTCCAGATCCACTCTCCTCAACATTTCACTGTGGAGATGCTTTTTGGTATCTTCCAGTGAGAGCTTCAGCTAGAAGAGATGGACATCAAGGTAATTAAAATTAAAGAGCTCCTTTTCCAAATAAAAGTAGCCAACTTAATACAGATCATTCAGCTTCATTCTTACAGCAATGAATAAAAATACACTCAAGTTGGTAATTCTACTGCTTAAGTTTGACTCTTTGGGACTCGCACACTTGCAACAGAAAGAATCCTGTTTAACTGCATTATTCAGAGGGTTAAGTATGAAAAATCCCACAGTCACACCAGCTAAGTTTTACTACTGTGTTACTTCAAGGCCAGGAAGTAGACCTCAGATAAATCATCTGAGGTCTGCATCTGCATACATTCCTCCCCTTGACAATATTAACTGCTCTAACCTTCTGCCTGAATTCCAGTGTTATTTATTTGATATTTAGCAAGTGATATCCCCCAAATATAGCCTATGTTGTCAAGCAATTAGACACTCTCAATATGGATGTATGTTATTTTAATRATAAAAGGCTTTAGTTCTCATCATGCAAACCTTAAACTAGCCTGTTCAATGATCACATTAAAGTATCAAGATAGCACATTTGTAGGAGCCYAGCTGTTGTAGTATACTTTGGTATAGTTGCAATTCAATTCAAGCAATCAGTTCATTTCAATAGCATAAGAGTTTGTTAAAAAAAGCAGTGAGAAGTTACTTATTCTACTAAGATTCAGGCATAAATATGGTCCATGAAGCGCTCCATTCAGTGAGATGATACAGAGGCTGTAGCAAATGGACTAATTTCAACTTGATTTACCCTTAAAACAAGGGTTACATACTGCAGCCATGGGAGGCACTTGCAACAGGACGTTTTAATTAACAAYTGATTAGTTTCATTTGCTTTCAGTAAGAATCAGTCCTCTTTTGCCTACCCGAACTTGTTAAAGATTAGTTTTTTGCCTGCATTTAAATRCCAATTAACTAATTTCGGAAGGCAATAGCCAAAGCAGAGAAGTGAAGCAAGAGCCTTACAGTGACCACTTGATCCTTCAGCTCCCGCAGGTCCTTCTCCAGGCTCCTGTTCTCGCTCAGAGCTGTCGCGAGGTCGGCTTCCTTCGCGTTCAGCTGAGCATCCAGGTCCCTCACGCGAGCCTGTGCCAGGCTCAGATCCGCTTCTTTCTTTGAATTCCTGCAAGTTAAAGTTTCACACACATCAGCTGCAGCTGCCAAGACAGGAACAGGAAAGGTTTTTTACATYTACCATTACATTGGAGTCTGTGGTAGAACTGAAGCAGAGGAAAAGGGAAACATTTGTGGAGAGGGAAGGCCCAGGCTGCTATTTCCTGAGCGACCACCGAGCTGCCCTGAGAACCGGGAGCAGATCGAGCAAGATTGCCAAGCAGCAACCCCTCCTTGCAGCATGAAGGCAGCCAGACCACAGAGCAGTGACAGCCCCCTCAGCACAGGCCCCACCACATCACCCACCACGAGGGAGAGGCCATGGACCACCACAGGCTCATCGCYGCGGCCGGTCACAGCAGAGTTTGTGGGGTGAAGTGCCCTGTCACTGCTGTCCCCCTGCGGCCAGCAGCTCCCTCCAGGCCGCCAGGGCTCCCTCAGCACGAAGCAGTTTTGTCCCCCGGAGGGCACCGCACCGCTGAGGGGCAGACACCCTGTGGTACAAAATGGCCGTTCTCCTCCACAGCAGCCTGTGGCACCCAGCAACAACAGCTGGTCCCTGCAGCAAGTTTGTGACAGAGAAAAGCGGTGAAAACCTCCAACAAATCTAACTTATACCCCTGCAGTTGTCTGATCCACATCCAGAACCCAGCTTCCTGCTCAGGTATCGGGTTTGAGATCATAGAGACCAGCACTCCATTTTAGTGAAAAAACACTCTACCCAGCAGCTAGGTTGTGATAATTTAGACAATGAGTTTTCCAGTTGATAACTGAGTAGAGTGGCTGGAGGGAGGCCAGAGTCACTCCACAGGGGCAATCAGCTCTAGAAAGCCTGGACAGAAAGGAAAGAGCGGAAAAAGAGTCAGAGTTGTTTAGTCTAGAGAAGAGAAAAGTGACAGGAGCCATAACAGTCTCTACATCCATTAAAGATAGCAGCATGGAGGCAGGGAATCTCTTTTTCATGTCTGTTGTGGAAGAGAGAGGAAGCTGTAGGTTTACATTGCAGGGGGGTTTATTAGGGTTAGATGTTCTGAAGAGGAAACTAATAGTAGTTCATTGCCAAAGCAGGTTGCCTGGGATCTGCCATCTCCATCATCCAGAAGGAARAGGTCACACAAACCTGCCATGGGTACACTTGGTCCTTACACAGGCCTGGGTGGAGAGGGGCTAGATAAGACCCTCTYCAGCCCTGCTTTTAATAACATTTGAGGATTGTTATGGCCATGGTATTTTGATAATTATATTTATAAAAGTTTAGTTGTTTACTCAGATACTAGAAAACATAATTCTGCTGGGAGTGGCGACRATCAATGAGATAAGATTGTAGATTTTATACTATTTACAGATTTCTTTATTTTGTAGGCATGAATTTTGCTTCCTTCTTGGGCTCTCTGCTGTCACTGCCACTTACTGTGAGTATTACCTGGTTATGATACTAGCAAGTATAGTGATAATGATTAGTAGTTTCATTTTACAATTGAAATTTTCATTCTTAAATCACCTAACTTTGTGCAAGAACAATATGCTATTAGCAGCTGTGCTTAATTGTGGATTGTTAGTTCACTTGACTCTGCTGCAGGCCTCTGACAGACACATTCAGGTTTCTTGGATTCTTTCCTGATAAGTGTTTTCAGGAGACTTTCAGGCAAAGCCTTTCATCTTTAATAGCAAGTTTAACAAAGCCAGGCTTTGACATGAGTGTTTATTACCCTTCTAAACCAAGTTCAGAACAAMACTTTGCATTGATATGAAACAATAAGTGATACTAGTGCACAATCTTGCATGTGCAGACTTTCAAATCTGCACAAGACATTGCAGACCTAACCCTGGCTTATTGACTGTCAGCCATTTGTGATAGTAGCCTTCAAGCCTTGCCTGTCACCTTCCAATTACATCTTTGAGGATATGTGTCTCACAGCTTGCTTGATCTGGAGAATTTGAATTCAAGAAACTTGTTTAAACCCATACAAGGTTCAAATAAACTGCTGCTTGCCAGGACCACAGATTTACATCACTTACAGAAGTCATTCTTACATCTTTGACTTACTACAGCACACACACACTTCAGCTTCAAAACACACATCTACAGCCATGAGTGCACTAGGAAACCAATCCTGTTTCTGCTGTGCTACTGCTTTGACCTTCCTGAGGCTAGAAGTTCAAACAACTGATATACTTATCCACAACACCTGCTTCCCAAACATCTTTGGTCCATTTCCAGCTAGCACTGTTGAAGAAGTAAAAACAAAATAGCTGAAATGTAAGCACATTTCATTGTTGCTGAAACTTAGTCTCTTTACAAGGGTGATTAATAAGAGCCACTGGTTAATGCTGTTGGGAAAGCTATCTAGTGACATTCCATCCTACAAGAGTTCCAAGTTATTTAAAGGGTTTATATAAAGGGCATGATACCCTCAAAGTAGTTTGTTCCAAGTCATCTGAGACATTTGCAGTTAGACAGCCCAGATACATATACTCATTAATATTACRACTCCAGCCTAATCCTTTCAGAAAGCAGCATATACTTTGTATCATTTCCTACAGGTTATAAACTTAGCCATTTTAAGATAGCTACTTTAAAGAAGTTTTATCAATCCAGAGGATTACATACCTGCCAAGACTCAAGCTTTATAAACAAAGCCACTGAGTTATACAAACAGAGCAGCAGAAAAATTCCTGAACTGGCATTAGCCTTCTCACTGTCCAATCATGTGCCTGGTTAGATTTATGAAACAGACCCATGAGCCAAAAACTGGCATGAATGAGACAAGTCCAAGGTATTCCAAGCAGCTCAAAACAGAAGCTTAGAGTAAAAACAAAACTTATCTTCAAGTAGAAGAGCTACTGAAGGCCTACTGAATCCATRGGGATAGAGCATTTGTACTGTACATGAAGAGTCAGAAAGAGCTGGTACCTAAAAGCTCCATGCAATAAAGCTTATAGCAGAACTAGGGGGGCTTATTAGCATCCAAGTCATTATATAGCTGYGACTTAGAAGTACTGTAAGGCAGTGTAGAGTGGTGGTACTACTAGTTTTTGCAAAGGAAGCATGTTGTGRGCAGACACTTCTCTTCCAAGGAGTTTTGATTGCACTTATGTTGGGCTACCACTGTTCTCCAGGCCTTGAGAGACCAGATGACAAGGAGATGCCAGGCACAGGATACACAACTTGCTATCAAGTCAAGCCTGAAACAGCAGATAGTTCATCCCAGTAGCACTTAACCCCAGTCTCAAAAAGAAGCCACCAGGATAAGTCCTGTGCAGTACCAGCCTGGGCCAGGTAAGAGTCACTCATGCTCTACTGCTTACAGGACAAGCCCCTTTGCTTAGCTGCCTGAGGCATTTAATCCCCCAAGAGGTGATGCTAACTCCACAGTGAAGTACCTTTTCTCATCCATGTAGCTTTCTAAATGCTTCCCAGCATAGTAGCTTCTCAGGTGCTCATGGACACCGCTGTGGAAGCAACCCCAGTCAGGGACACATCCATGCAAGAGCACAACCTTTCCCAAGGCCTCCCCACACCTCMTGCCCAGCACAAGAGGCTTCTACTACAACCCAGTAACAGCACAGGAGCAGGTGCTCCCAGCAGCATCCCCACAGCCMAACACAGATTCCTGGGCCACAGCAGGGGGAGGTGACACCACCCTGGTCCCCCGCAGCAGTGCCTGGGGTGGCAGGGGGGACCCAGCCACCTCTGGCGCCCCAGGGCCAGGCACGGACCTGCTGTGCAGCTGCCGGTGCTCCTCGCTGACCTTGCCCAGCTCCACCTGCAGCGCGGCGCGCTCGATGGCGATGTCGTCGAGCGCCCTGCGCGCGTCCGCCAGCTCCGCCTCGTAGCGGAGCCGCAGGCTGCCCAGCTCGCGCCCGCTGCCCGCCTCCTGCTCGGCCAGCCGCTGCCGCAGCGCCGCCTTGTCGGCCTCCAGCGCCCGCACGCGCTCGATGTAGGCGGCCAGGCGGTCGTTGAGCTGCCGCAGCTCCTCCTTCTCCTGCAGCCGGCTCAGCCGTGTCGGGCTCAGCGGCGACGAGGCGGCGGCGGCGCGGCCCAGGGCGCGGGCCGCGCTGGCCGGCGGGGAGGACAGGGCCGCGGCGGTGGCCATGGCAGCTCCGCTCCGCTCTGCCGCGCTGCGCTCCGGCGCAACGCGACGGCAACAGCACCGCCCCGCGCAAGGCGCCCCGAGGTCCCGCGCCGCCCGGTATAAATAGCCGCCCGCTGCCGCCGCCCCGGCACTTAAAGGGCTCGGGCCGCGGGCACYGCCGGCGGCTCCTCTGGACCCGAGCACCAACAGCCGTGTGCACGCACGCACACACATATATGTGTATATTTTATTTTTCCTCTCTGCTTTTGCACGTGATGGCGCCGCAGCGCATCCCCGGCGCGGTGCCGCTCGCGGAGGGCGGGCACGGAGCTGGCAGGAGGCGGCGGCGCCGCGTTCCCCCGAGCGGGGCCGGGCTCGGAGCCGCGTTTGGCGGCGGCGCGAGGAGCTGCTGCGACCCCCGCGCTACCCCGCGCCGCGAGCTGCTCCCCGCTCGCTGCTCCTCTGAGGGCATCTGGGGCCYTCGGGGCCGTGGTTGTCACCCGCACACACGGCTGCAGTGTCGCAGCTGGAAACTGCTGCGTGCCAAGAGGGGAAAATGGAGGGAGAAAGGGAATCTGCATCAAGGCAACTGTTAGAAGCAGTCTGAAAACACTTATGCTAGCTGCTCTTTATAAAAACCATTCTTCGACATTCCTTACTAAGGACGTGTTTGTCAGGTTTTCTTTTTTTCCCAGTAATTAATTGACCTTTTTATTTACATTTCGATGTACATTTTCACACATTTTGATTTACATTTTCACTTGCATTTTGAGCAGCAGATTCTAAACTGATCTCACTAAGAGTAATAATCCCTGAACCTTAACAGAATTGTGAATGATAATATTTGTTGCAGCATTTAGAGAACACTTCAGTTAAGAGCTCAGCTTAGGTTGGTGCTATTTACTACCCAGGTTAGTAGTGTTTGTCCAAGCATGCAGAGAACAAACAGTCAAGATGTTTTTTAGGGTCCTTTAACCTGTTTTTTAGCTAGTCAATGTCCTAGACCTTTACTCTGTGGTGCAGTCAGCTACATTACTAGCCAAAGCAGCCCTTCTGAGCAGCTGCAAGCCCTAAAGGTGCTGAGCGTCACCGAYGGCTTTGTCACCACCCAGAGGATTTCGGATTCTTTAGCGTGCTGTGCCAGCACGGTCACAGCTCTGCCCGTGTCTCCGCATCCTCTGCAGCTCTATTCAGTGGCAGGTTGTCTCCTGCCTGTATAGCAGGGTGGGGTGCGCACTGAGTGTTTTTGCTGAACGTATTTATGTGGAAAACAAAAAATCTTGAGACCCTGCAGCTTTGTGTAGTTTGGTAACAACATCAGACAGTCTGAGCTCCTCTGGTTCTTGTCCTAGCAACAGTGTCAGGAAATTCTTTTCTGCAAAGCAGCTTCAGTTCTTTTGCTGTAAGGAGTACTTGTTTGCTCTTCCTTGCCAATAGAAAGCTGAGTTCAAGAAAAACAACAGGCATGATTTAAACCTGAATGTTTTCCTCTAGGACTAGGACATTTATGTCCAAGGGTGCGCTTTGGCTTTGGATCCTCAGTCCTCTGTGAAAGGCTGTGATCCTATGTCAGTGTCATGTCTGATGGTTGCATGTTCTGCTCAGCTGTTCAAACACAACCGTGTGCTCTTGGAACAGAAACAGAACAAAGCAAGAAATCTGCTATTCTGGGAATATTTTCCTTCCYTGCCAAGGTTTTGTAATAGAGCAAACAACACCTGCTGAAAGAGATGGTTCAAAAATAGTCTAAAGTGATTTTATCTATCATGTGCTTTACCAGCTCGCCATGTGTGAGAACAAGAGAAGGCAACTTAAGGACCATGTGATGGAAATCAGTAATTGATTTTTTTTAGTGATATTTTGTCTTTGACTAAGACTTTCACCTGTCCAGTTCCAGCAATAAAAGTAATGGCAACATTCTTATAGAGATAAGCCTGTCCCATCTTTTCATGCTGTTTCCAGTGTGCAGGCATGTCAGCAATGTTTCAGAATTAAGAAAAGGGTATTAGGAGAAATGGCAAAAGGCATATATCTAACACTAAAGAAGAGTAGAAATTTTTCTTCAATTAATCTATTAGCATAAATGTATAGATCACTGAGATTTGGATAGTTGCAGAATCCATGAAGTAGGAAGGAAAAAAAAATCTTTAAAAATATTTGTGAATTTTTCTTCTAGCATCTTAAGCACATCTCAAACTGGCAAAATTAAGTGAAAAAAGCATAACTAATGAAGTGAAAACAAGGAAAAAGTTAACTAAACTTTCTGTCACCTTTTCATCCTTTACTTTATCTGTACCTTCCAACCAGCCCTACTCATGTATCAACAATCTGATAGTTCGTTACAGCAGGGTGTAATGCTGAGGACATTAGCAAGCTTTTAATGACCTTAAACAGCCTCACCTGGGGCCTCCAGCCAACCCTCCTTTTCAGCTCAGCCCTGGGCTCCTTATTAGGCCCTGCTGCAGGTGCCTCTGTTCGGCTCTGCTGCTGCTTTTTCTTAGCATGGAGGCTGCTGCTGTACAGGCTGATTTCCTGGCTTGATGTTTCAGGTTTGTCCTGTCCTCTGGTTCCCAGCTTGCCCTGGGTACTGCTGTTGTTCTAGCTTTGCCCTGCTCCTTGCCCTGAGAAGTGTTGGATGGGGCCAGGCAGGGGAGGCCCTGCTGGCTGAGCTCTTTCTTTGCTCTTTCAGTGCTTTTTCTTGCCTCCTGRCCTTGAGGGAGAAGCTGGTCCCTGCTGCTCTGATAAAAGGCTTCTTGTTTGTTGTTTGTTACAGTAACAACACCTAAAGATTTGAGTAAGGTTGCACTTTACTGATAGAAGTAGGGGCTCTCTTTAGACCTTTTTCTGTGACCTAAAAGAAATATTTGAATATATGTCTACTTTTCAAGTGTTATTTAAGTGCTTGAGGGTTATTTAAACAGACTGGGTCAGTTACTATATTAAAAAAAGTATCAGTGCTGGTGAGATGCAAGAGTAGGTGCCAGGAGGATAAACAAAAGAAAAAAAAAGGCAGTAGGAGGTGAGGAGAACTATTTCTGTGGCATTTGTTCTTCTTCATTCGTGAGTGTCTCTTCCTAATCATCCTTTGGAAACTAAACTGGGCTGACTTTGGTCACCTAAGTCTCTGAAAAGATACGTCACGTGTTGATGATGTTAACATAACGAATTGATGCGAACTATCGGTTCTAATATTTTAGTTAGGCCTATAAGCACTGAACTACAAAGAAAAGCAAGTTGCCATTTGAATCAAGAGGTGTTTATTCTGGAAAGGGGAAGTCATGAAACTTAACGCATCTATTACTGCTGTTGAGGATCACAAGTATTTAAATGAGCCATGGGCTTTGCTTAAGGATAAAAGGGAATTTGAGATGCAAGAATGGACAAATATTCAAGATTTTGAASCAGTGACCATTTATGCACATTGTATGGGTTAATATAAAATGCATTTTTAAACAATATTTTTTTCTATAACATTTAGGTGCATATACGTAAGTGGTGTGTTTGTCTCTAAGACTCAAGAGTTCTCTTTTTGTTTCCCTTTGCTGGTGGAGCTGTTCCAGACATCAGGGTAAGGATCAACAAGGAGCACAATGGGTTCCATAACCCCAAGAAATCAAAGATGCAGTGTTGCAGTGGAACTTCATACCTTTCCACCAACAGAGGATTTGCTCTTTATAGGGCATAACATATTTGTGAAGTGTGACAGGGTATGATTACTGTCCACCCCAGGGAGCTGGCTATTTCAGAGTAAACAAGCACCCTGTACGAATACAGTGCAAGGCCAAAGAACCAATTACACTGTGTTGGGGATCTAGTGACTCCAGCTACAGGAAATTTAACGTTTTCCTTTTATTAGTCAATCAGGTGCAGCTCTGTTACTGATAACTCTGAGGTCTGAAACCAAAACTCAGTTTCTGCGTGGGGCTTTGGCAGGATACCTCCAGCTTTGGTATTAGTCTTAATCCTGATTTATGAGTTGAATGTTGTTCTGCAGTGTTTCAGTGGATTTTAAATTTATAGTTTAGCCAAACACTTCTCCCTAAGTAGGGTAGACTTCTATTATGGTGAAAAAAGGGTCTTCATGAGAACTGGACTGGCTTAGCTGAGCTGGCTTTGAGGGAATATTTATATTTAAAGGAAGTCTGCTCAGCAAGCCTGTACACCTGCCTTTCAGGGCAAAGATAAAGAAACACACTTTTTCCTGGATGGGAAGGTCTTGTGATAGCATAGAGTGAAGCCTCATGGTTGTCTTGTGATTGGGAAGAGTTTCCTTTCATCAGACGAGATTTTTTTTTTTTCCATTTTTGCCCTTAGCCAAATCTAACAGGTCTCTCGGTCTCGTGTGTGTGTAATAAGTTACTTATGACAAGAGACAGTTACAGGAATTAGGACTGTGAACTCTGACTTGAAGGGCTATCACTGGAGCTTCTCAGTCAGAAACTGTGTAGGCTCCTCGGTAAGCTGGGAGGAGAAAGCAGCACCCAGAGCAGTGCTGGAAAAGGATGGAAGGGGAAATGCAGAGTGGCCCTGGAGCTGGGAAAGGTCTTCAGGGTGAACTGTGCCTTGAAACCTCTGCTAGTGTCAGTGCTAGGAACGAATGGGCACCTGCAGGAAAATGGCCACAGGTGTGTTTATAAACACACCCATCTAACAAATTAATGCCCACCCTGCTGCTTGTGTTTTAGGGATCCGGAGGAGATTGTGAATGTGAAGAGGGCTAAGTTGTTTAAGTGAATGGTATTCTACATGAAGATTGTGCGAGCTGCACATTTCTAACTAGCTGCCATGTCTTTAGGGTGAATATCTCGGTGGTGGATGTGTTGTTTCCATGCTGCAGTGCTACCATACAGATTTTGGGGATGGGGAACTTGCATTTTCATGGTAGATGTTACGGCTAAATTCCAGTTTTAAGCCTGCTTGTGTAATCTGTTTGTGTAATTGAAGTTCATGCTGACTGCACCAGCTTACCTGAAGACGGTCTCGCGTGGGCCTGGCTGGCCATGGAAACGCGGAGGAGCTCGCCCGGCTTGGGCAATGGGCCCGGGTGGGCAGGCGGGTTCCTGCGGGGCGCGCGGTGTCCCGCGGGCTGGCCGGGCTCTCGGCCGCGCCTCGGCAGAGGGCGCTGCGCTCCCGGCCATGGAGGCGCCGCTCCGCGGGCCGCCTCGGAAAAGTTTCCAGCGCAGCCTATTTGAGCAGCTCCTGCGGCCRCGCTCAGTTCCCTGGCGCGTGGCTCTGACCTCGGTGGCGGCGAGCGCGGCGCAGGGAGCCGCGAGCGCCGGGCTCTGCGTTCGAGCGCACGGAGGCGGCCGCGCGGGACGCGCTCCCGGGACGTGCGCGGGGAAGACCTGACGAGGCCGCGGAGGGCAGCGGGATCGCGGAGCCCCTCGGCGGGTGAGCGGAGCCCCGCGGTGCCCGAGCCGCGCGCGGGCGGCACACGCGCCCCCGCAGGCCGCTTCGCC